CAATTACGGCTCTCTCGTTTTTTAAGAAGACTGCCTTGAAGCATTAGTCTCAAAAACTGAGTTGAATTTGGAAAAGGAAATTGTCTTACGACCTTTTATCCCTTTGTGAAGTTCGGCAAGTTCGCATGAATTTTATTTTATTTCTGAACTTCTTTTCACCCATTTTGAGGAATTTTTAAAAGAAGTTATTTTCTCATTACTTTTGGAAGATATATTGTTTTGAAGGGTTGCTTCAAAAATTTGTTTAGTCCAGATTATACGATTTTCGTAATGATTTATGATACTAAATAAGAATTTGGTGTTGGTAATAAGTATCACTTGAGGTTATTAATAATTTGTCTAGTCCAGATTATTTGTGCACGTCTTGCAATTTTACGATTTTTGTAAAGATTTATGATGTCATATCTTGAAGTTATCGAAAGAAGTTTACAGAAAAACTTAGCAGGTTTGTTATTCATACTGGGTGGCCAAAACATGGCACACGATTTGAAAAATGGGTTATGCACCGGAAGGAGATAGGAATGAAAGGGTTGACGGCGTTCTGCTTAGGAAGCTAGAAAAATAATTCTCAGGAAATTTCAAACTTATTTTCCAAGTGTGTCAATAGATAAATGCTAACTCAAAAAAGTATAAAACAACAGGTTGATTTAGAAATTTGTTTAGTCCAGACTATACGAGCACGCTTTGCCATTTTACGATGTTTGTAAAGATTAATGATACTAAATCATCATTTGGTGTTGTTAATAAGAAGCACTTGGGGTAATTAGTAATTTGTCTAGTTCAAATTATTTGAGCACGTCTTGCAATTTCACGATTTTCGTAAAGAATTATGATGTCATATCTTGAAGTTATAGAAAGAAGTTTACGTAAAAACGTAACAGGTTTGTTATTCATACTGGGTGGCCAAAACATGACACATGAGTTATATACCGGAAGGAGATAGGAATGAAAGAGTTGACTGCTTTCTGCTTAGGAAGCTAGAAAAATTATTCTCAGAAACTTTCAAACTTAGTTTTCGAGTGTGTCAATAGATAACGCTAACTGAAAAAAAGTATAAAACCATGGTTTTCAAAATAACCACTATTTGCAACAACAGCGCAGTGTAACACGAAGACAAAATTAACAAACATGAAAATATTTCAGTTGAAAAGGACAAAGTTTAAATATTGATTTTAGTCAGAAACACTATGTGTTGGCAAAGTTTCAACCAATTTTAAAATTTAATACTGCTCTCCTAGACTAAAAGCAACAAAGCTTGCATGTATATGGCCTTCTATTTTTCTTTGATTCAGTATTAAAATTGTCATTTATTTCTTGAACACAAAAGAACTTAGGACTAAGAAATCAGTTCTTAATGCAACTCTTCTAAGCTGAGCTCAAAAAAGAACTTAGATTTCTACTGCCTTCTAATTGTTTTTGATTCAGTATTGAAATTGTAATTTATTTCTTAAACTCAAAAGCACTTGGGAGTAAGAAATCAGCACTTCTTATTAAGAGGTAAAACTACATATATTTTGATTTTTCAAGATCTAACAATGCACTTATTTTGCTATAAACAAAATAGCATTTTCAGAAATTTAATTTTACTGTCTCATCTTTCTCTGTTGTGTAGATTCTTGTAATAAAAGGAATAAATTTTCTTATTTAAAGTCAAATAGATTTCGTAATTTTAGTAATTTGATAAATAAAAAACAAATTTTAGAATTTCTTTTTTTTTACATAAGCATGTTATACTTTTTTTTATTAACGCGAGAAAAATCCTTTTCTCTGCTTTAGTTCACCTGAAAAACGCCACTTTTAAAAATTTTTTTTGTTACTTTTTTTTCAAAAATCAATTAGATAAATATAATGCTTATTCATTGATAATTTTCTTCTTTATACTTTAACTTAGTTATCTTTTCACATTGTATGTAATTTAATAAATAGCTTATTTAGATAAAGCGACAAACATATAGACTTTCTCATTTAATTCGTTAAATTCAATGCATTTTAATATAAGATATTAATATTTACTATAATGACTATTCTGTAAAATTAAAAATATAAGACAAATATTTCTCAGAATATTTTGTTAGTATTTAATTTAATATCTTTAGTAAATTTATACAATCTTTAATTTTCAATAACTGTATGCTTACTAAATCAGTTCTAATTACTAAAGTGCTAATTAAAATTGAATTAATACTTGTCCGCCTAAATGTTTACACATTTATATAATACAAAGGATAGAAAGATCGTGAAAAGAATAAACTAACAAAATACGTTTTGCAATATTTAATTTGCATTAAAATTCTTACAGAATTGTTTTTTTATATACATGATGATTCGATACGTATATATAATATTTAAATATGGATAATTATATAAAAATAGACGCTTTTGTCAACCAGTTTGGTCACCTTTCGAGATTATCTTGTACCACATATAAACTTTAATGGTAGCTAAGACGAATACAGCTCGCAATTATATTTAAATATTCTAATTCTTCAGCCCCATCCTCTAATTCTTCAGTCCCAACTTCCAAAACACGTTGCTTAATTTCAAACAATATATTAAACAAATTTTGTAATCTTTTAGCTGCTTTGTCTGCTCTGAAGTACTTTGATTTCAATTTTGAGTATTTTCAAGAGATGTCCGCGATATTGTCAAACTTCCCTATGTAGTAAATTTCAGTAATAATTTAAAATTTGTCCAGCAACCATTGAATCACTCAAACCACCTCGTAAATATGAGTTCGGGACATTTCAGCATAATAGACAGAAGAAATAATAAAGTTATTTCCATCTCTGTTTTGATATAAGATCGAAAACTCATCCCAATGCTCCATTACGTGCTGTACTACTTCCTCACGCACCTCTCTAACAATATATATATATATATATATATATATATATATATATA